GGACACGACTAGAAATCAGTGGTTAAGTTGTATTTACAACACTGTTCCAGAACACTTCAACCCAAATACTCAGATGTGTGCAGCGCATTTTATGGAGGACTGTTTCCTGATCCTGGGAGAGTAACGTTAGACTACAATGCCGGCTGTCCTGACTCACGGACTGTAAGTAAGTTTTTTATATTTTTTATTTTTAAAGCGAGTTTTTTGGGCAGTGTAGAGTAGGGCTTGTTGTTTGTCATTTCTCCGATCACAAATGCAGACAGGATTTTATGTTTACGCGGCGCGATGCAACACAACGCGTAAAAAGACAGTATAAGTCATTATAATCCATAATTATATCCCCACTGGATGCAACAAATGCCTCGTTTATAATGGGTTTTATTGGTTTTGTCTCGTCGCTCCGGAATACGGCATCAACAGTATGGTGAGGGGCGTAACATTTCCGTCACACGCTTGAGGTATTCGGCCAATCACAACGCACTGGATAGCTGACCAATCAGAGCACACCTCGCTTTCAGACCGATGAACTTTGTAAAAATCGACGCGTTTCAGAAAGGTGGGGCATAGAGGAGAAACAATAATGTACAGTATGTGGAAAATAATGTGTTTTTTTAACCTTAAACCGCATTAACACATTTCACTACACCAAATAATGTTCTTTTTAGCAGCATCATATGACCCCTTTAAAGACTCCCCTAAAACAGTTCACACCAAAACTACGCCCGTATGTCCATATATCTGTAGCCATTTGAAATTAAAGGCCTTTCAATCACGAAAACGCTACATAACATACATGTCGCATTAGCGGTTGTTTTTCATTTAAAGATGGCATATTTTCAAGCAAAAACAAAACAGCCTAGCTTTGTGAAGCTTCTGAACCGCACCGTCACACTAGCGGGCGGTGTGGAGCAGTCTAGCCGCATGAAGCCCAAAGCCGCGAAGAAGACGAACAACCGCTCCATGAGCTTGTAGTTCCCAAAAAAAGCAAGATGGCGGTGCAGGAGACAGCAGCTCAACTCTCTATGGCCCTAAAGGTGCAGGAATACCCGACTTTAAAGGTCTGTCAAGCCTTTCTTCTCCATACTCTAAACGTGCAGTCGAACAGATCCCGTCTGCGTTATATAACCGTCAGTCTAACGGAAACGATCGATCCGATGGAAAGTAAGTTGTGTGACTGCATTTAGACAGTTAACTGGTTAGCTCTAAGGCTAGATAACTTAGCAAAACAAGTCTCACACAAACAGATCTTGCCGAGGTGATAGCAAACTGTCGAGCGGCTGTATCGAGGGATATATACATGAGAGCAATAAAGACGAATAATGTCAGTCTGATGCCTGTCACCCTTGCGTTCCGACAGTCTTGTTTTATCAGGCGCTGTTTTACCCCATCACAGGTTTGTCCACTAGTGTAACCAGCGAGCAATGCAGTTGAAGGCAGATTGACGAGAATCGTTCATGGTAGTAACACGCTACTCTATAATCGAGTACTGGTCAGTCTCGTATATGCGTTTGATTTCGATTTGAACGCGGTCTTCTCTGAGGCTGTGATCCAGACAGCATGGGCTTCGTGTGTCTGGATAAATGCTGGAGGAACACTCACTCGCCAGTGGTGACCGGAGCTCGGTATGCATGCGATCTGTGCACTATATGTTATTAGGATGATATTGCATCATGTTGTGTTGATCAGCGGCAGCTGTTAGCACGTTTATAGCTCAGCTGTGGGTTCTCGATGAGGGGCTTATTATTTAATGGTTGGCATACAGCACCTTTGTTCTCTGCGTCACAGATTTTTCCCGATTGATCGCGTCGATTTGGATGAATGCTCAAGTGAATCGTTTGCTGATGAGCTGAATGCCTTGTAACCCGATTAGCTCATGGATCTGCTGTAAAATGACGCCTGTTTATGTGCACGCACACTGAATGTCAATAATATATGGTCTTCACTGCTGTGTCAAGGGCATGTTGCATCTGAGCTTGTCTTGCAGCAGCTCTGGGAATGATTTTCCAGTACCTTCTTGATCATTGCATCATGGTATGAACTAGTCACTATATTCTTTTTGTGCAAACTCTATTATGGAATTATAAATAAAATGTAAATGTGTGGGCCAGTTCTTTTTTTTTTTTTTTTTTTGAAGGCACCGATTCTTGTAAGTCATAAATCATTCAAATGGGCATTTATTTATACAAGCAAATTGTGTGATAGTTTACAGCTGTAAAGCAAAAAAAGCAAATTGTGTGATAGTTTACAGCTGTAAAGCAATACATTTTTCTTTTTGACAGTCAGGTTTTGACATTTGTATGGTTAAGTTAAGTGTATAGGCATACATAGATGAACAGTAGTTTATCTTCTATTGTTTGATAATGAAAGACATGTCACACGACTCTGTTCCCCTTTCAGGCTCTGTCTTTACATTTATTTTGAAAGCTGAAGCTGCGATTATGGTAAGGGGCGTTACATTTCCAACGAGTGCTTGCGGTGTTCGGCCAATCACAATGCACTGGGTCAGCTGGCCAATCAGAGCAGACTGCGCTTGTCAAAGGAGGGGCTTTGTAGAAAACTAAGCGTTTGAGGCGGGGCATGGAGGACCTACAATAATGTACAGTATTTGAAAAATAATGTGTTTTTCGAACATTAAAGCATGTCAACATATTCTGTTACACCAAATACACAAAATAATGATCTTTAAAAAAGCATCATATGACCCCTTTAAAATTGAAATGAAATATTTGATACGGTATGATTTGGTGCTCGTTTATGCATCAGTGCTTTTTTTCAATCGTTTGCATGTATTCTGGCTCGCATTCACTTCTCGCTGCCAAATTAGGTTGCAATCCAATAAAGGTTAAATCTGCAATAATAGCATTGACTGATGTAGAGTGTGTATCTACTCTGAAACATCTGTACATGAATAGAGCATTGCAAATGTTGATACTACTTATCTGCCCTGGTTGCAAGGTGACAGATGGCCTGATCAAAATAAACTGGCGGATGCTGAGAGATAAGATTGAAGGTTTATGCATCGCTGCCTCTTCCACAGCTGCGGTACATGGCCTAATGATCATGTACACCTTTATGACCTTTTCTCTCAAATGGACAGCTGAAAGAACACAATGCACCATTGTTAGACATCTGGAACTAACTACTTAATGTATTAATGTCATACTTTATTTACTTGTGCCATGTGGAAGATAAAAACTAATTGGGGAATCTTCAAAATTAAGCCTTTTTTAGTCAAGAATAATTGCTTACTGCGAAATATATATATATATATATATATATATATATATAAACACGAAATAAATTAATAATGAAGTAATTGTAACAGTGAGATTGAACTAGTGACTGTTCCTTTACTTTTTCATTTATACTGAATGCTTAAAGGCATAGTTCACTGAAAAATTCTGTTGTTATTTACTCGCCCTTATGTCATTCTGAACTCATAAGACTTTTGATTGTCTTCAAAATGCAAATTAAGATATTTTTTAATATTCAATAGGTTAACGCAACCAAAATGTTCAGGCATTAAAAAGTACCAAAAGATATGGTAAAAGTAATCCATATGAATCTAGCAGTCTTCTGAATAGACACAATCACTTGATATGATTAACAGATTTCATTTAGGCTTGTATTCACATATAAACATTGATTAATGCACATATATGGAGCAAATCAAATATGATCATTGGAGGCTCAGCTGTACTTGCTTGACACGCAAGAACAAACCTCATTGGTTCTCATGCATCAAGTACAAGAAAAAGTGTTCGAATTTTTATCACATGTTAATGTAAAAAAAGTTTGCGTAATATAACTTGTGTTTGGTGGTTTTTATTGTATTTGTTATACTTGTATTTTTTTTTTTATTGTGTTTGCCATGAAAATAGCCTAAGATGCTGACATGGCATTAAATAAAAATATACTGCTACTCAAGCAAGTACATGTTTACCATATTTCATGAGCTCTATGTATTGCCATTGATCACTGTTTATACATGAATAATCTGTTTATCATTTAACATGATCATGTCTCTTCAGAAAACGTGAATGAAACTGCTCAGTTCACTTTTTGAAAGTTTTGGATGAATGCACTTTTCGTGAAGGGATGGAACTCTCTGGTTTCATTAAACATATTTCAAATATGTTTCGAAGATGAACAAAATTCTTAAGAGTTTGGAACGACATGAGAGGAAGTAAATGACAGAATTGTTATTTTTGGGTGAACTGCCAGTAATGATTCCCTCACGGGAGAATGTGCTTTGTGAACCCACACCATGAAGAACGATATTACGGAGCTTACCGAAAACTGTGCCTGGTAGTGAAATGCAGTTGTTTATCTCAACAGGTTCCTTATGAAACCTTGAACAAGCGCTTCCGAGCAGCTCAAAAGAATATAGACCGGGAGACCAGTCACGTGACGATGGTGGTGGCAGAGTTGGAGAAAACACTCAGTAGCTTTCCAGTGGTGGATACCGTAGTCTCTCTCCTGGATGGAGTGGTTGAGAAGCTCAGCGCCCTCAAGAGAAAGGTATGCTGAGGCATCATGTTGAATAGATTCAATTTTACTGCATTTGTACCATTTACGCTAAAGAGTGAAATGGTTTCATATCTGATAGGCAGCTGAGTCTATCCAAGCAGAAGATGAGAGCGCCAAGTTATGTAAGCGGCGCATAGAGCACCTGAAGGAACATAGCAGTGATCAGCCAGCCAGTGTTAATGTTTGGAAGAAGAAGCGCATGGACCGCATGATGGTGGAGCACTTACTACGCTGTGGCTACTACAACACCGCAGTCAAGCTAGCCAGACAAAGCGGGATTGAGGTGCGTCTCCACTTTTTCTGTGCAGCGAGTAAGATGCTTTTCTCATATGATGTTTTGTCTTTGTAGGATTTGGTCAACATAGAAATGTTTCTTACTGCAAAAGAAGTTGAAGAATCTCTCGAGCATCAGGAAACGGCTACCTGTCTGGCTTGGTGCCACGATAACAAGTCTCGCTTACGGAAAATGAAAGTAAGAAACTGGGTTCAACTGGGTTTGTTTTTCTCTCACTTGCTGTTTTCAAATATGTACTGGTGTTTTAACTGTCATTATGGAGCCACATTGTGGTTATATTTCTTGCAGGCTGGGTTTTCATTGGCTTACGTTTCATTTTTCATTTTGTCATTGCCTGAAAACGATGCAGTTTAAAAGGTAAAGTTTATTCAGTTTTGTTGAAATATGTCCCTGTTTCCAGAGCTGTTTGGAGTTCAGTTTAAGGATCCAGGAATTTATTGAACTCATTCGACAAAACAAACGGATGGACGCAGTAAGGTATGAGTTTTTTTTTTTTTAATGCTAGGTCTTCATGGCTGGACATGACATGACTGCGATTCCAAGTTTCTCTGAATTACTTGAATTTATTGTTAAACAAATCATAGTTGGTGTTATTAAATCAAAATGAATGTCCTTTAGACATGCACGCAAGCACTTCAGCCAAGCAGAAGGAGGGCAATTGGACGAGGTACGGCAAGTGATGGGCATGCTGGCGTTTCCCTCAGACACGCACATTTCACCGTATAAGGTAAATTGCCTTTCTGTTTCTATATTATCTGAAATGTGTCTACCACTCCAAGGAACTGTTTTGATATTGATCATTAATTGTTTCTGAATATGCCATCGTAGCAGGTACAGGTTCAGTGGTCCGTAACATTTCTTGTCTTATCTCCCAGGATCTTTTGGATCCAGCTCGCTGGAAAATGCTGATCCAGCAGTTCAGATATGACAACTACAGATTACACCAGCTGGGGAACAACTCCGTGTTTACCATTACCCTGCAGGCAGGGCTGTCTGCCATTAAAACCCCGTATCCTCTCTGCAGAAAAACATTCACCATCCTTAGGGTTTTCAGTTTGCATGTCTAGCCAGATAATTTATGAAACTCTGGATTTTGAGTAATATTGGGCGATTTCAACATACGGTGATTATTTTAAATGACTGTTAATGGTTCTTAAATCAAGTTGTTGAGTAGTTGTTAACTTTAATTCCAAGTTTACAGGCAGTGTTACAAAGACGATGGCACTTCCAAAAACCCAGATTGTCCTGTCTGCAGTAAGTCGCTGAACAAATTGGCTCAACCTCTTCCCATGGCCCACTGTGCAAACTCAAGGCTGGTGTGCAAAATCTCTGGCGAGGTCATGAATGAGAACAACCCACCCATGATGCTGCCTAATGGCTATGTTTATGGATACAATGTGAGTTTTGAAGCTAGTTTTGTGTTCTGCTCTTCAGTACTCTGTATTTACAGTGCCTTGCGAAAGTATTCATACCCCTTCTTTTTTTTCACGTTTTGTTATGTTGCTGCCTTATGTTAAACTGTTTTAAATTCCTTTTTTTCCACATCAATCTACACTCCATACACCATATTGACAAAGGAAAAACAGAATTGTCACAACTTTGTACATTTATTAAAAATTAAAAAAACATAATAATAAGTACATTGCATAAGTATTCATAACTAAATATTTAGCTGAGGCACCTTTACAGTCTCACGTCTTTTTTGTTTGATGCGACAAGCTTTGATCATCAACATTTGGCAATTATCTGCCATTCTTCACCTCACCTGTTCTCCTCTCAATCTCTGTCAGGTTGGATGGGGGCAGACGCACATTTTCAGGTTTCTCCAGAAATATTTGATTGGGTTCAATCCCAGGCTATGGCTGGGCCACACAAGGACATTCACAGAGTTGTCTATTAGCCACTCTTGCTGTGCTTAGATTCATTGTCCTGTTGGAAGGTAAACCTTCTGCTTAGTCTGAGGTTATGAATGCTCTGGACTGGGTTTTCATTAAGGCTATCTCAATATTTTGGTGCATTGAGCTTATCTTCTGCTCTGACGAGTCCCTCAGTCCCTGGCACTGAAAAAACAGCCCCACAGCATGAGACTGCTACCAGCTCACTTTACTTTTGGGATGCTACTCTGCAGGTGATGAGCAGAGCTGCTTACCTTCAAACATTATGCTTGGAATTGAGGTTCATCAGACCAGAGAATCTTGTTTCTCAGACTCTGAGGGTCCTTTAGGTGCTTTTATGCTAATTCCAATTGTTTTTTCATGTGTCTTCACTGAAGAGAGGATTGAGTCTTGCCACAATGCCATAAAGCACAGATTGTAGGAGTGTTACAGTTATGTTTGTCCTTCTGTAGGTTTCTCCTGTCTCCACATATGAACATGGAGCTCAACTAGAGTGACCATCAGGTTCTTGGTCACCAGTCTAGACAAAGCCCTTCTCCATCAGTTGCTCAGTTTGGCCAGGAGGCCAGCACTAGGAAGAGTCCTGGTTGTTTCAAACTTCTTCCATTATAGATAATGAAGGCTACATGATTCTGTGGACCTTCAGTGCAGCAGAATTTTTTCTGATCTCTTCCTCAGATGTGTGGCTTGACGCAAACCTGTGCGTTCTGAGCTCTACATGCAGTTCTTTTGACCTCAGGGCTTGGTTTTTGCTCTGATATGCATTTTCACCTGTTAGACCTTTTATTAAAGGGTTACTCCAACCCAAAATGAAAATTTTGTCATTAATTACTCACCCTCATGTCGTTCCAAACCCGTAAGACCTCTGTTCATCTTCGGAACACAAATTAAGATATTTTTGATGCATTCCGAAAGCTCTCTGACCCTCCCATAGACAGCAATGTAAGTAACACGATCAACGTCCAGAAACATAAGGAGATCGGTAAAATAATCCATGTGACATCAGGGGTTCAAGTGTAATTTTACAAAGCCACAAGAATTATTTTACTACGCAAAGAAAACAAAAATAACAACTTTATTCAACAATTCATTTCCTGCGCGTCACTGTAACGCCATTTTGGACGGTATCCACTGAATGTAAACAGCGTCACTGTGTCAACCGCACCACATGGATACGTTGTTTTCATTCAAATCAAAGCGTAAATAAATGTAGAAAACGTATCCATGGAGGACGTGGAGGGGACTAATTGTTGAATAAAGTCGTTATTTTAGTTTTCTTTGCGTACTAAAAGTTCTCGTAGCTTCGTAAAATTACGGTCAAACCCCTGATGTCACATGGATTATTTTACCGATCTCCTTGTTACGTTTCGTGACGTTGATCGGGGTAGTACCCTTGCTGTCTATGGGAGGGTCAGAGAGCTCTCGGAATGCATCAAAAATATCTTAATTTGTGTTCTGAAGATGAACGGAGGTCTTACTGGTTTGGAACGACATGAGGGTGAGTAATTAATGACAAAATTTTCATTTTGGGTTGGAGTAACCCTTTAATAAAAGGTCTAACAGGTGAAAATGCATATCAGAGCAAAAACCAAGCCCTGAGGTCAAAAGAACTGCATGTAGAGCTCAGAACGCACAGGTTTGCGTCAAACCACACATCTGAGGGAGAGTTCAAAAAAAATTCTGCTGCATTGAAGGTTCACAGAAGCATGTAGTCTCTGTTATCCTTAATGGAAGAAGTTTGAAACAACCAGGACTCTTCCTAGAGCTGGCCTCCTGGAAGAGGAGACACTTAATTTGTGTTCTGAAGATGAACGGAGGTCTTACTGGTTTGGAACGACATGCGGATGAGTAATTAATGACACAATTTACATTTTGGGGAGGAGTAACCCTTTTAAAACGTGTGTGCCTTTCCAAATCATACCCATTCAATTGAATTTGCCACAGGTTAACTTCACTCGCAATGTTGTAACATCTACAAGCAATATGAATGCTCCTGAGCTAAATTTCAACTGTCCCAGATAAGGGTTTAAATACTTATGCAATGGAATAATTTGCTGTTGTTTTTTATGTATATAAATTTGCTATTTGCTATTATGGTGTATGGAGTGAAGACTGATGTGGGGAAAAAAGTAATTTAAAGCAGTTTAACATAAGGCAGCAACATAACAAAACGTGAAAAAAAAATTTGAAGAGGTATGAATACTTTCGCAAGGCACTGTACACTACCAGTGTATGCTATTTGAAATTCTATATATTTCCTGTGTATATATAGTGATTAACATTCCCTTGCCTCTGGTTTTCAGTCTCTCTTGTCAATTCGTCAAGATGACAAGGTGGTATGCCCCAGGACCAAAGAGGTTTTCAACTTTTCCCAGGCTGAGAAGGTTTACATAATGTGATGGGAGCTCCACATAAGTTTTGGGACGTTAGGTTGCGATGCCATTGTAGGCTGGGCGAATTTCACATTGACACCATTTGTTCCTTGTTCCATGCAAGTGAATCTCATGGACAGTATGTCCTTGCCCTCAACTGGCCTGCAAGACCTTCACTGAACTGCTGGTTCAAAATCACAATGGAGTCGCTAAACGGACAATTGTGACGAGGGATTTCTTTTTTGTTGATGTTTTTAAAAGGGTTGATAGTTTGGCATTTATTTAACTGGTTTCTTTTCAGTAGTGTAAAACAAACCAACATGACTCCACATCAATCTCAAAAGAGCTTCTGCCTTGTAGTGTGTTCACAAAATTAATTATTAATTGTTGGTTTTTTTGAACAAAGGCACCAATTTAGGTCATTATTTTTAGATAGCTTGTGTGTAGGTAGTTGTAGAGAACACTCTCCGATCCCTTGCTTTTGCACCTGTGAAATCTGTGACAACTTGCATTTATGTTAACGTGATATTTTTTGACTGACATTCTCTGTGTGAGGCAACATGTTAAAAAAAAGTTGTAGCATTTATAGCAATACTGCTCTTTATCCGAAGTCTGTGGATGTACAGACTTAGAAAGACATGGCGGTGTTCTTTGGTGTCAGGCTGGTGTTAAAAAATCACATTAGTTTACACTTCCAACAGTAAATACTATACTGACTTATCACAGACTTCTTGTGTCATCAACATCATTCATCAAATAAAACATTCTGTGTATGACCAAAGTCCTTTTAGGACAAGTATGCAAGATTGAATTTTGATGGATATGCCTAAATTTGGAGCAATTTTTTTAACTAATGGTATGTTGTGTTATATAAACAATATCATATATTGTAATTAGTAAGGTCATGCTGCATTTAGTGCTGTTTTGTGACTAAAGGTTAAATAGCCAACTTAAAGCAGTTTTTGTTTTGGATCTCAGGGTAGATTCAAATCTCGCAGTTTTATTACATGGAATTTTTTTTTGTCCTCCAATGTTAAAATTTGTAATTATCCAGCCTTGATACCCTCGTTTTGTGATGTAAATGTCTTGTGTGAGTTTTCTTCTGCTGCAAAATGGATTAATATGGATATTTCATATATATATATATATATAGACTAGTTTTACATAAGTCTTACATGATTAGAATTTCCAAATTCATTGCAAGTAATCTGTAGAGTCGTTTTGAGCACAATTTTCAAACCAGGAAATTGTTAAAAGCACATTTCGTTAATGTTCCCCATGCACACATCCCTAGAAAGTCTCAGGTTTCACAGGATCAACAGCAGGTAACCAATGAGTGGGATCTTTGAAAGGCCCTCTGGTCTTTTAGTTTCACTTTAAAGTACACCAACATCCGTTCCTGTTGGAAATGATTCTCCAAGTATGTGTTTAACTGTAATTGTGGAAAGACTTGCTTAGAAACTGTGCATGCATGTGTATTTTGGTAGGGTAGATGGGTTGTCCGTGCCCAATTGCCAATAAAGATGGATTTGATTATGTATTGTCATTGTCTCCCTGAATCACAGGTGAACTTACACTGGAGAAAAACGAATTTCTTACAAATGAACATTTAAGTGAAAGTGAAACACTACTATTACTTATTACCTATCAGAAATAGTAATAGGTTTAGCAGTAGTGTGCAACTTATAATTGTTTTACCTTCTAGATTGGGAGCTTTGTGGTTTTTGCAGGCATATTGTAAGACAACTTGTCTGAGAATTAAAATACTTTATTCGAAAACTTACTATAATTCATGCAACGTTTTTATCTTCACTGGGGGTTTTTCATCGCGGTCATTTTTCTCGTGACTGCTTGGCGCATGCGCAAATAAACGCGCCAGGAGCGGGAACCTTGAGGTAATTTTAACGGTCGGTTAAAACAGCTACAGCACTGCTTTACAGGATACATATATCTTCAAAATGTACTGTAAGTAAACAAAAAACGTTATCACAATTCAACGTATATGACCATTTTGCCAGGCCTGTGAAATAGCCTGTACTTATAATCTATTTAAAAGTAATAATGGCGTATTATTCAAGTCATGTATTTAAAATTTTTAAACTTACCTTGACGTATACCTATACATTCACAGATGAGACAAAAGAGAAACGAGAGGAACCATACGACCCGTTGTTTCTGCCATTAACCAAACTGGGCTCTAAAACGCGAGGCCAGCCGTTCCTCTGCATCGTGGGCCAGGTGCTCAGTCTCGGCTGGCTCAAATACAAGACCTTTGAAGTGAGCTTACAAGTTTGCCATCTTCTATTTTTTTATTATTACTATTTTATTTTGTTGATTTGAGTGATGTAACGTCAAATGTGACTCTCTTTTTTTACCCAGGATGTCAATGCGATTGTGGCCTTGTTGCTGCCCTCATTAGCTTGCAGATGCATAGACAACAACGACTTACTGTCTTTGCAAGAGATTCTTGTCACGGTATGAACGATCATGCATCTAAGATGTAGAATGCTATTGACAATTTTTCTATTCTTTCATGTGGCCGGTTATATAATTCCTAATCCATGCTTTAATGCCTAATCTTGCCTTCAGATGGATATAAATGCTGGAGATTATGATGGCAACACTGTCATGCACAGAGCTTGTGAAAAGGGCAGAACTGATATGGTTAAATATTTACTGTCTATTGGAGCAGCATGCCAGCTGATAAACCGCTTTGGTTGCACACCTCTGCATCTTGCCATAAGAAACAAGTAAGTGATTTTGAGCAGATTTAATTATTGGAATATATATATATATATATATATATATTACACCATTGCCTTACGTATGCCAGACACTTTGACGTGATCAAGATTTTGATAGTGGAAGGAGCCACAGTGAGCCTAAATCCTGTGCGAGTTGGCATGGGACTCATCAAGTCAGTGTTCCAAACTACAAATGAACTGAGTCTGTTGTAGACATTTTTTTCATTCAGCTGTCTTCTCTCATTTAGGGCGGTTCTGACTAAAGACTGTCAGCTTTTGCAAGCATGGTACTTAGCTGGTGCAAACATGAACCAGGGTGATTATAATGGACAGACCGCTTTACATGCAGCAGTGGAGAAGAGGGACAAGAACTTGGTGTCCAAACTTCTTGAATATGGCGCCACCCCAGAGGTATAATAAAAGCAGATTTTTGTCATTATGAAAACATCTTCTGCTTTAAATTGTTCTGATTAATTGCATTAACAAGTTGAATGTTTAACAACCCTTTCCAAAAAGTGGTATACTTCAAGGCTATTTTAGTAAGTAAACTTAAGTAAAGTTCAAATATATTTTTAAGTATACTTTATGTAGTAAGTATACAAATATCAGTGTACTAGTAGTATACTTGTAAGTGTACTATTTCAATACTCCTTGGGACTAAATTGGCCCACTTTCTAGTATACTTTAAGTATAACAGTAGTAAACTTTGAGTACACAACTAGTTTACATCCAAATGTTTAGTTTGTACTGCAACTATACTAAAAGTGAACTTATAGGTATACTGATAGTTTGCTAATTAAATACTTGTAGTAGCATTTTTAGTACACTGAAGTATAGTCTCAGTAAAGTACTAGTTTAATAGTTTTATACTGCAAGTATACTCGTAAGTTTTCTTTAAGTGAACTTTACATCATACTTGAAGTATACTACTATGTCCCTATTTAGGTAATAATTTGTATATATTTTGTTACATGAATATCAGAACATAATAATCAAAAAACAGGATATCTGCTTGTAAACAAAAAAATGTTATCCTAGCTTCATGCATTCTTTTTTAAACACTTGAATGTGGATAAGTTTCATAAATAAAAATTAAAGAAATAAACAAAATTTTGAACAAAAAGCTGAAAAAAGACTATGAATTGGATTCAGAATGATAATCAAAACGTAGATAAAGTCGATCAACACCCCAAAGCTTGACAGTCATTATTATCTCTTCATTGGTTCGACATTACATCAACTTTACACAGTTCTGATGCTGTTTTATGTCTGATGATGGTGTTAGAATACATGTGGAAGCATCTGTTGTTTCAGTTTCTTCTTCACTTGTGTTTTTTGGAAATTCTGTACAGAAGATGTGTACTAGCGCCCCCTACAGTATAACAATGAAAACACGGATTCTAGGAGCACAATTATAGCTCAAATATATTTAGTATAAGTCAAGTATACTTAAATGTCATTTTAAGTATATTTCTGAGAAGTGCATAAAGCCCATTTCTGAGAAGTACATAAAAAGTAGACTAAAAGTATACTTTCCTATTTTTAATTTAAAAGAAGTATACTAATAGCACACTTGAATAAACTTCTTTTTCATAAGGGAACCCATAACTGGCAATGTGTAACATGCATGGTTTGTCTTTTCCCTGTCAGAATAGGAATATGTGGGGAAGGACAGCAGAAGATGAAGCAAGACAGAAAAATCTTCATGACATTGTGGTGCTCTTCAATCAACTTTACTTTTTCTAACAGCAGCTTGCTGTGTAGGACCTAGTCAAGCGGACCAGCTGATATCAGATACAAAAGCATATTACTTTCAAGTTTTTTACCTTGACAACCAAGTTAATTCTTAGTAAAGAATTCTAAGTGCTAGTCTAAGCGCTGTAAATGGCTGACAACTCTCAACTCTCCTCCTAATGTTTACACAAGAAATCAATTCAAATAAAGCAGGCATTTTATCATTTATTTCAAAACGAAAAGCATAAGTTGGTGCATATGCATGAAAAGTTAAACTAATCCAGGGTTAACAGAGTCTAGTTGAGTCATTCTTGGTAGAACTGCATGAACATATTTAATTTGTGCAATTAACACGTGCACACGTTGTCGTCATCTTGAATATCCTTTGCATGTACATTTTGTACTGTCCAGCACAAGTTGCTGTCGTTTGTTGTTGAGTTTAGTAGACATAGCTGGCAGTAAAGAGGGACTGTGTAGATGCCTGGTCAGCCTGACCTGAGGGTTTGTATTCACCTTTTGATGCAAGACTATTGATCTGAAGGGGAAAAAACAAAAATCAATATATGCAGCTTCAGCTGATATAGTAGGCCTATAAACTGACAACACAATAAAGCACAATATAATTTAGAAGTTTTGAAAAGTTGCACTATAGTTGTGACTTGATTGCCCATATGCTGTATTTTTAGCTTGAATCATAACGTCATTGATTACCTTGGCACGTGTGACGAAGGCGTCCTGTGCAGCCTTCTTGTTTGCTGCTTGTCCCTTCCATGCAGCTAGAGCCGAGGCCTGGAGAGCACGGCCATAAGAGAAGCTCAGCTTCCAGGGTCTGTGCAGAGGAAGCTGGTTCATGGCATTCAGATTCAGAGAGGCCTCCTCCTCACTTTGACCACCAGAGAGGAAGCAGATGCCTGAGAATCAGAAGAGAGATGTTGAACGTTTGAAGAGCACTCAAATGGACACCATCCTCTGAGGACCAGTGGAGGACTGTCTTACCCGGTACAGCAGCTGGCACGGTGCGTCTGAGAGCAGTGACTGTTGCCATGGCAACCTCCTGAGGGGTGTACTTCTTGCTACAGGAGTGTCCAGCAGTGACCATGTTTGGTTTGAGCAGAGTTCCCTCCAGATATACATGGTGATCGGAGAGAGCCTTGTACACAGCCGCCAGGACCTTTGGATGCAATTTGTTGGGAATTATTTTTGATGGATAATTTGGCTTTGCTCCACTTTTATTGGTTATTCTGGGAGGAAGCTTACCTTCTCAGTGGCATACTGGCACCGTTGCAGATCATGATCTCCGTCTGGGAGGATCTCAGGCTCTACAATTGGCACCAGGCCATTCTACAGGAACGAGGAAGAGTTCATGAGAAAAAAGGATCTTGTGGACAGTTTGTGAAGAAAAATAAACAAATTACTGGCATGCTATCAATTGTTTAGAGTCATATAAAAGACTGTTTATGGACAATAAATAGGATCCCATAAACAAAGCACATTCTGTTAGACATACCTGTTGGCAAATGCTGGCATATCTGGCAAGAACGTTTGCGTTTTCAGCAATTGCAAGAGCAGAGGGGCAGCTGTCAGAGATCTTAAGCACACAACGCCACTTGGCAAAATCACAACCATCCTTTTTGTATTGGGCACAGCGTTCAGACAGACCGTCCAATCCTGAGTGAAACGGATCAAGCAAAAATAGCTTCCTTTAAAATGGATACAAGTCAGGATAGATTACTGTCATGTTAAGATGCATTTAAAAGAATAGTTCACCCCAAAATGAAAATTCTGTCATTAATTACTCACCCTCATGTCGTTCCAAACCCGTAAGGCCTTCGTTCATCTTCAGAACACAAATTAATACATTTTTGATCAAATCTGAGAGCTCTCTGACTCTCCATAGACAGCAAAGTAACTGAAATGTTCCCAGAAACGTAGCAAGGACATTGGTAAAACAGACCATGTGACATCAGTGGCTCAACTTCAATTTGGCAAAGCTACGAGAATACTTTTTGTGTGCAAAGAAAACAAAAATAACAACAATTCTTCAACCACAAGTTACCGTCTTCTGCCATTTTGGAGAGTACTACGACGCATGTGCGCGCTTTCCCCTGAATGTAATCAGCGTTGTTTACGTTCAGGAAAAAGTGCACGCATGCGTCATGGTACTCTCCAAAATGGCAGAAGACGGTAACTCGTGGTTGAAGAATTGTTGTTATTTTTGTTTTCTTTGCACACAAAAAGTATTCTCATAGCTTCGCAAAATTAAAGTTGAGTCCATGTGACATCAGTGGCTATTTTACCGATGTCCTTGCTACGTTTCTGGACCTGGGAACATTTCAGTTGCGTTGCTGTCTATAGAGGGTCAGAGAGCTCTCAGATTTCATCAAAAATATCTTAATGTGTGTTCCGAAGATCAACGAAGGTCTTACGGGTTTGGAACAACATGAGGGTGAATAATTAATGACATTTTTCATTTTTGGATGAACCTAACCCTTTAAGTAAAAATGTACCCTGTGTGGTTGTCTCTCCATCTGTACCACCCAGTCCTGCTGTGCCTTTGTCCACCTTCAGGCACAAAGCACAATTAATACTTTTATTTATAACTAGGGTTGCAAAAAGGTGGAAAATCTCCAGTAGATTTTGGAAATATTCCAGACATTTTAGAAACTTTCCAGGATTTTTTGGAATATTCCAGGGATTTTTGGAAATATTTACGGAAACTTTGCAACTCTATTTATAACATTACATGACAAAACTAGTGAAAGGACCTTGTGTTTGTATGCAGAAAGAAAGAAGGCTTCTACAGTATTCAAGCAGTGCTTTGGTTATCTATAGGGCAATATCAAGCAAATAAATGCATAAACACATTTACACAAGTTGTTGAAAAAATCTTGAAGAGTGCACCTAAACCTCACCTTGATACCAACTACGATTCCCTTGTCCTTGATGACTTTTGGAAACGGAACTCCCTGGGCTGATTTCTGGTACAGTGTTTCATGGAAAAAGATGACACCACCAATATTTTCAGAGACTGAATTGTCTACAGAGAAGAGTATGTCACGAAAGCTGCGACGGTTCTCTTCAGTGTTCTCCACGTTTGTCTTCTGAAAACGCTTTGCCATGGTGCCTAAAATATGAAACACATCTAAACATCTGGAATGCAAGCTTACCATTACGTCTTCAAAAATACAATTCATTATTACTACAACCATAAAGCTGTTAGTATAACGCATTACTTTCCATAAAAAGTAACTAAGTAACGTAATTAGTTACTTTTTTGGGGAGTACCGCAATATTGTAATGCATTACTTTTAAAAGTAACTTTCCCCGACACATTTTTCCCAGCATCATTACTCCAGTTTTCAGTGTCACGTGATACTTCAGAAATCATTCTAATATGTTGTTTTGAATGATGTTGAACATACCTATTGCTTGATATTTTTGTGAAACTGTGATTAGATTCTGATTATTTGATGGGAAGAAAGGTGATGAATATACTACAGAAAACACAGCATTTATTTAGGCTACAAAAATTATTGATTTGCCTGAATATCTCATGCTAAATGAATCAAGGCCACATCTCCTCTAAATCAATGCAATAAAAAAGACATTATAGGGTTAAGTTGTGTCGTAACTTGCAAAGTTGTTCCGAGTTGTAGCGCTGTAATCAGAAATCAGACTCAATATGGTTTTTTATACCATATAATATTTTTAAAAAGGTTGGAGGTTTACGCTTTTTGTTAATGTGTGATTACTCAACGAGCAAACTGCCTGTGGCATTATCTAATTTCTATCAACAAGCTCTCAAGGCCTGGAAGTTATGTTATGTGCATAACTTTTCTCCACATAAAGCAATCTTGTGGAATAATGTTTTTATTACAGTTAACCGGAAATCTCTTTATTTACAGAGTTGGATGGATAAAGGAATTTATTTTTCATCTGACCTTTTTGATCAGTCAGCTGAGTTGCTTTCTTATGAAAATTGTATGAATAAATGGGCATTTCCCATTAAATATAGAGAATATTATTCTGTGATATGGTTTTTTATACCATATAATATTTTTAAAAAGGTTGGAGGTTTACGCTTTTTGTTAATGTGTGATTACTCGACTAGCAAACTGCCTGTGGCATTATCTAATTTTTATCAACAAGCTCTCAAGGCCTGGAAGTTATGTTATGTGCATAACTTTTCTCCACATAAAGCAATCTTGTGGAATAATGTTTATATTACAGTTAACCGGAAATCTCTTTATTTACAGAGTTGGATGGATAAAGGAATTTATTTTTCATCTGACCTTTTTGATCAGTCAGCTGAGTTGCTTTCTTATGAAAATTGTATGAATAAATGGGCATTTCCCATTAAATATAGAGAATATTATTCTGTGATAAACACCAACCCACCGGTTTATTGATGTTAATGAGAAGCCATATGTTGTGCCTTAACACTTGTAGAATTGAACCCGTTCTTAATTTAAATGGGGTGGACATTAACAGTAAAAAATGAACAAATACATTTATTAGAAATCTATTTTATGAAAAGAGATCTATTAAGCCTAGAGGGAAATTTTTCTGGAACGTTTGTTTTCCAGAGATTATTTGGAGAAAAGCTTGGCTTCTTCCCTTTCGGTTTTGTATATCTAACAAACTTCGGGAAATACATCTGAAAGTACTTCATAATATTTATGTTAGTAACTATACTTTAGCAAAATGTATGGATATTGATGAAAAATGTTCATTTTGTTCAGATCAGCCAGAAAGAATTCTACATCTTTTTTTTTT